GTGTGAGATTCCGATATATATATATATGAACATAATTATCAGACATGAAGTCGCCATAATGAACAACTTATTGGGATCAAAAATTATATTGATTTAAAACAAAAGTAAGGAGAACGTTATCAGAATCCGACGGTTGGGTATCGAAGTTGGAATTTGTATCATAGATGGAATCAGAACTATTATTATTTATTCATTTATTATCCTGACTTAATTCAAATGCGATTGAAATAATCTACTTTTATCGCCATTAATTTTCATCCAACAAATGAATTGGTTTGGATAACTTTCTGATTCCGGATACTGAATTAAAAATTAATTATTATTAAATTAATTAATGATATAAATAACTGTATTATAAAGAATCAAAAAATTTTATCATGTGAGCTATGCAATTTTAAGCAATAGCATTATGCCCAGGATTCGAACAAATACGACAATTAAAATCTTTGTAAAATATTATACATTAAAATTATATTTCTCGTAAATTTTTTTGAAATTTTGTTTGCCACGATGATTGGGCACTGCTAAACACGATGTTTAAATTTTGTTCTTATAATTTAAAATTTTTTTGAATCTTCCATCATTATTAATTTAAATAATTAAAATGAACCAATAAATGTGAATGAGATTATTAAATTTATTAAATTTTTTTAAGTGGTTGATATGATTATATGGCTAATTCTATTTCCGTTTTCCTATTATCATGAATAATTTGATAAAGAAGCTACTAAAAGTTTTAACAATTTTTGCACCCCTTCCCAAGTTGGCAGCCCTGGCAAAGTTAATACTTTTACTAGCATGATACACCACTGACTAGGATATCATTCAATATGTTGTTAATCCAGCGACTATCAGTTCTTTGAGCTATATGTGGTCAGCCTATTTCCATTTTAAACGTTTAATTTTCTAAACGTCATCTAAACAGTTTTTAATTAACTCATTCATGTTACTCGCTTCCAGTTCATTCACGGGATAGTGAGTAAATGACTTTCCATATTTTTTTATGTTGTTCGAAGTCCTTGTACATAAAACATTCAAGTAATTACATTCAAACCATAACATTTGTCCATCATTTTTGTGGTCACTTGGTCGTTTGATGTCACGATAATACCAATCCAATATGTTGTTAATCCAGCGATTATCGGCTCTTCCAGCTAAATGGACAGTTTATTTTCATTTTAAACGTTCATTTCTCTTAACGGCATCTAAACCGTTTTCAATTGCCTTATTCACGTTACTCGCTTCCAGTCCATTCTTGTGATATCGGCTTTCTATATTTCCTTACGTTGTTCGATAGTCTTTGTATATAATACACTAACGCAATTGTATTTTATACAAAGTTATATGCATTTATATAAAATTGTGCTTGAAGATTTTACATAAAAAGTTAAAATATGTTCTCTAGTTCCCCATAATTTAAAATTTGTATTTATAGGACAACAGAGAAGAAGTGAACGCTGGATATCGACGTATTGGAGTTCAGTTTCGTCACTATTTCTCGCCAACTTCGACTTTAGTTAATTCTTGGAATTGCTGCATCATTATGTGATAAAATATCACCGTATTATATTTTTCATTCTTAATGGCCAAAAATGTGAATGTCTCTGATTTGTTGTGGGCATCTGAAGGCTAGCTATTAAATTATATCTATCTCTATATATATACATTAAAATACTATATTATGTCTATTTTATCATGGGTAATAAATAATTTTTACTTTTGATAAGACTCTTGTTAAACAAGGCTTGCAGTAATTGTGCTAAAACAGGGTGCAGTAATTGTGCTAGAACTAAAAATAATTAATTTTTTTTTAAGTAACAATGATAACCTATTGAGTATTGAACAAAACAAAAAAAAAAAAAAATACTGTAACTCAGGGCTCGAAAAAACTCTGAAATTTTACCCGTTCCAGGGGACGGCGTGTCCATCAATGTACCCGTCCTCCTTTGAAACTAACCCGTAGCTTCTAAATAAATAAAAATATAATTTTCTCTTATTTATTAAAAACATTTATATAAATTGCACAATGAATTAGTAGTTACTGGGATTACAAATACTAGAATTACAATATACAGTAATAAAAGAAATACTAGGTTACTAATAGTAACCTAGTATTTATTTTATGAAATAATTTAAATGACAAAGGTCAATTTATCCGAGGGTACTGCATTTTTTAAATGAATCAAACATGACGTTTGCCAGTTCCGCAATCAAGCCGATGATTTACAGAGGTTTCGGCACAGAAATCTGAAAGAGGATTTCCATTTAAGTAGATGTTAATAATTGCGTTTAACGCTTCTTGTTTAAGACCAGTACGTAATGTGTTTTTTTGTAAGTTCATTGCTGAAAAGCCCCTTTCAAACGCTGCAGTACTCCCAGACAGAGAAAACATCAAATCCATCATGCGCAGTATGCTACTGTATTTCTAGATTAGAGGGTCATTTTAGAAGTGAGGCGCTAGACTCTTGTTAGATAATAAAAATTGAAAATGTATCACGAACATTAACGGGAAAATGGTCGTCCGCGCGGACGTCAGATTCGAGAAATTCGTTGTCCACGGGGAATTTTTGATCGGCAAGGACGGGCGGTTTTTCGAGCCCTGCTATAACTTTTTGTGAAATATGTCATTAATTTTCTTTCGTCTTCTTTTTTTTTTTAAATTTAAAATGCAGCAAGTGAACAGTCTTTCGTCAAACGAAGATACACTAGAAACGAAACTTATAATAAGCAAAGTAAAAACACACAGAATTAAATTATTATAAAAAGGTAATTAGTTAAGGGATTAAACTAGATAAAATTAAACTAGATAAAAGTGCTGTTGCCTCCCAATAAGAGGAGTTGATACATCCTTCTTCAGGATTCAGCTGTCATCTCCAGGTTGCCGCAGCATAGGGGATAAGCAGGGATGATTAACTTAAATTAATAACTAGGTTTTATTAATTTGAATTTATCCAATTTTTTTCAATCAATTTACGAACACATAATTTCAAAAATAAAATAATGCTATTGCATAAAAATAACTCTCAGATTGAAGGAATAAAACTTACATTTCACATCGAGTTAACTTTGTTTCGTGTGCTTTGCGACATAAATAGGTTAATGAGAGGCGCTAAGGACTGATTTTGTATTTCTTTATCATAAATAAGGATAATTTTTAAGTTTTTAAATATTTCCTTATGTACTTATTTATTTTATTGTATTTTATTATTGCGAATTTCTTAATGTTTGAAAACTTGCTTACGCTAGGTTTGAACTTATGAAATAAACAACAATTGAAAATTTCTCATTGATTTTAATAGTTTTCACGAAAGTTTAAAAATTATCCGTACTTATGATAAAGAAATACAAAATCAGTCCTTAGCGCCTCCTATTAACCCATTACTGCCACGAAAAGTACTCTGCATATAAAAAATACCTATCTGAAAAAAGTGGTAGTACATATTTGTTTATACAAAGTGGATATTTTTTTCGATTACTTGAGCCGTGGATGTTTATGGGATAGAGCAGACGTCCTTGATCCAGCTGAGGAGATCCAGGTTCGACTCCCAGCACTGACTGGTTGATAGGAATTCTGCTACAGGCTCACATTTACTACAGTGCTGATGTAAAATAATCTCAGTGGTTGGTATATCATGGGCCAGAATCTTTTAGTAATCGGATTTACCATGGATGGTTTTCGTGGTTTCCCTCTCAATATAACGAAAATTCTGGTTAAATTCATCAAAAAGTTTTCCACGAAAGCTAGTGTGTTCGACTGTTTGATCCAGGAGTTCTCTTCTGTGTTGGGTTCAAAATTACAAAGTTGAACATAGATAGACATAAACAGGAAGTAGATCGGCTGTTTAGCACCAGTTATAAAATAAAATATTGCTTACCACTTTAGTTTTAAAAAAAGACACAGCGTGATAAGTCCAGATCCAAATAGCTATGTAAGTTTTCAATTATTTCATCAAGACAGAACTAACTAGTTTCTTCAAAATAAATCCTAATGATGAAATACTTCCCTCGTGGGCTGCAATAGTGGCACAACTCAAATACGCTGAAAAACAGTTGTAAATATGAAAATACACATTCTTTTCAGCAGCAATACTAGCACAACTCATAATTCAACTTGCAGTAATTTTCGTTTAAGCAAACTGAAGCGTTTCTTGTGCATTTTCCTTAGCAATGAAAACTTTAAATCGACTTATCTCAAAACATAATTTTTTTTTAGTTATTCCGCTATTGCAGCCCATGAGCGACTTGTTCTATTACTTTTCGTTTCGGAAAAAAGAGAACGCCCATTTTGAAGGCTCCGTCACCATGTGAAATAAGGCATTTTTTAAGAAAATAATATACTATTTTAAAACTTTTGTGAGTTTGTCATGACTTTAAGGTTTGTCCACCTTTAGCTAGCGCCTTCTTTGTTAAAGATGAAAATGGCACAAAATGTCAATGTGAAGAAAAGGCCCAGTTTAGGGTAATTAAAAATCGTTTGTCATCGAATTTTTTAATGTTTGAAAACTTGCTTACGCTAGTTTAGACTTATAAAATAAACAAAAGTTGAAAACTATTCATTGATTTTAATAATTTTCACAAAAGTTAAGAAATCTTGACCAAAATGGGTATTTTTCAAAAATTTGATGGCAGCTTCATCTTGGTGAAGGGTGACATGGATGGATGACATAGCGACATGGATGGATGACATGGTAATGTGATCTGGATGACATTACCAAATCTTTAGAGCAGACTCTTTTTGACGTTCTTTTTTCCAGGTGTGAGATCCCGTATAAGCCGCACTTTTTGAACTCTTAGATTAAAAGTAGAGCTCTAAGTAACCATCAGAATTAAGATTCATTGTAGCTTGAACATCGGATTCAATCAAACTTGAGATTGCTAAATAAAAATTAGAGAAAAGATGCTTTCGCTATGCTTTTAAGTCGAATCAATCTATAACTGTTTCTTTTTTTAAAATAGGTCGAATGTTTTTAGAAAGATTTGTAAAGGAGACATTTGCAAAGAAATAAAAGTATTTTAATAAAACAATAACATAAAATAATTTAACATTTTAATAGCATGTTTTATTGGAGTAATATTTTGAGAAATCAGCATAATTGAAATCTTATTGTAAGAAAAGTGAAAAACACAACCTATTTCAGTTTACAGACGTTATTTATTAAGTCAATCTTAAAAGAAAAAGAGTAAATGAAACCTTTTTATGCACATTTCTTAAGAAGTTACAAAAGTCATTTATAAAAAACACTAATCTTAATTTTAAAGATGTTATCTCCCTTTGAATTAACAGAATTCTTACAAACATACAATGATTGATGTTTTAAAATTTTTAAATTAATCGGAAATTCGTTATCGCCGAAATAAATACATTTGCAGTTGATCTAGAGGCGGAAAAATGTGTACGTAAGAATTTTTTTTTGATGACTTTATGTCACTAGCTTTAATTTCTTAATGATATTTATATATCTGAATATAATCTAATATGAATGTAAAAAAAAATATCGGATTGTATATTAATGTATGTAACCCAATTTTATCTGATTTAATGATAATTGATGACCAGGGGGAAAAAGCTTATTTTGTGAAAAACGAATTTAAAGGTTTGAGATTGTTTAAGAGCATACGATTTAAATCGAAAAAAAATTTAAATATACATGAATATCCCAAGCATTTACTTACATTCCCGAATATTTCAGGACAAATTTAAAATTTTTGATGTTGAGAAAAAATAAAATTTGAAATTCGGGTGAGACAAGAACAGTGTTTTCCTCGGAATTTCTCTTCCTCAGTCGAACTATTGTCATTTTCTTCAATATAGGTTCTCTTTGTTCACCTTGTCTACGCGTACACCAGCGAGACGGAAAAGAGGAAAGGCTGGTAGTAAAACCATTTCAGTTATAGCTAGTTTTGGGGAGGAGTTTACTTATTCTTTTTTTAAATTTTTCAACAATATCTACTTTATCTTGGAAAAGAAGCAGTTTTATATATATGCCAGAATTATAAAAGAAATCTTGATAGTTACAGATATATCATTTTTTTCGAAAAAAATGCTGGAATGAAATGTTTTACGTACCAGGTTTTTCTCTATTCCGTCTTGCTATATAAGGGCTTTCACCCATGGCGTACACAGGCACTATTTTTCCCTAGCATTCCTCATCTTCAAAATTTAATAACTCTCGGGGAGAACCGATGTTCAACGTTTTTTATTGGTATGTCAAAACTTGATAATCCACAAACTTGCAACAGATGATGATGCAATCGTCCCTTTTGTGAAAAATGAGCATAAACCGTTCTTTTCCCTTGATCTTAAATTAATTAAAAGAAAATTAGGAAAATAATTAAAAGTTATAATGACAGTTTTGACAGCTATTCTATTTTATTAGTTGAGACTGTGAACCTGGAATTAACACTTTTCAGGTTAACTAGTACCAGGTTATCTAGTAACTTAAGGTGCAATAAGTTTAACCTTTTTATTCATATTATATTTATTACTTTTTCAAATGTTTTATTTCATAACTAGATGCATTTATTTTAAACAAATATTTACTGGACTAATTTTTTTTGCAATGTTAAGAACATCACCTCGATGAAAAGGGATAGAATTTCTTGATATTATATGGAAATAACAGTCTAGAAATACTTCATTTATTATGGATATCGATATCTTAATTCTCCCAACAACACGATATTAAAATAAAGCACTATTTTAAATAATTATTTTATTTAT